GGGGTCCCGGGCGCGGTCGTGGCAGCGAGCCTGTTTCCTGAGCAGGTCCTCGGCGCGCTGCTGGCCGAGGCGCTGGTCCACCGTGGGCTCGGCGGCCCGGCTCTTGTTGGTGTTGTTGTTACGGTTTTCCTGCGGATCCACCACCAGCGGCCGGTCCAGGTGGGTCTTCATGTCGGGCCGCAGGTGGCGGGCGTAGGTGGCCTTCCAGCGCTCGTCGGGGTCCATCTCACTGTACAGGGCCTCCCGGCTGGCCAGCAGGTTCTGTTTCCGCATCTCGCTGGTCCGCTGCTCCCACACGGACTTGGCTGGCTTCTGATTTTTCTGTTGTTCCTTCCTGCAAGGGGAAGGACACAGGGGTCAGAGCCAGGCTGGGCCCTGTGCCTGGACGGTGGACTCGGGCTCATGGGCATCTCGGTTCAGATGGGTGTCTTGGCCTGGCCAGATGACTCACCTGGCTAAGATGCTGAGGCGAATGGGTGTCTCAGCCCAGCTAGGGTTCTCACACTCAGCCTGGTTAGACATCTCACCTTAACAGGTGTCTTGGCCCAGGTGGGCATCTTAACCCGGGTAGGTGTCTCACCCTGGGTGGACGACTCAACCTGGCTGGACGTCTTAGGCTAAGGGATGTGTCAGCCCAGGTGGGTGCCCTGTCCTCCTTTCTACCCCTCTTGCAGCACATGAACCACGGGGTACAACCTTAATATTGAAAATATCTTAACCTCTAAGTTGGCCAATCATAGGGATGCTGGCCTGGAGCAGGTTTCAGAAGTCCCCGTGGTGCCTGCATGATCCTTTAGTTCTGGGTTATGGGTGGTCTGGGGTCCCAGGGAGAGATCAGGGCAGCCAGGGTCAGCAATTGGGAGTTTCAGGCAATGCCTATTTACCCACCAGAGCAAAGCAGCCAGTGGGGCTGCTGTGGTGAGTGTCAGCCAGGCTGGAACTCTGTTGGGGCACACACAGATTTTCCAGGGGGTCCGTGGGCATTGACAGTTTTATACAGACCTTTGCTTTTTATAGGCTGCTTTCCAAAACTGGCATGCCTGAGCATGAGCCTTCCTGGGCTCCCCTCTCATGGTCACCACCTCCCACTTTGGGAAAGAAGCCCCCTCCCCATTGTCCTGTGATGCTCTGCCCTACAGTGTGCAGAATCCCTGGTCCACCCAACAAAGACACAAGTAGAACATCAGTGTCAGTGAAACTTGCTTTTAATCAAGACACCTTAATGCTCACTGCCTCACCACCTCTGATCCACCAGCAAACTGTCTGCTCTGCCTTCACGATCTGCCTAGAATCCAGCTACATCCATCACCTCCTGGGTCACCACCCTGGTCCAGCCCTCACTGTCTCCTTTGCATGAGCCAATTCAGTCACCTCCAACCTGGTCTCCCAGCCTGGATCCCACCCTTGCCTCCCACAGTCTGTTCCCCTAACAGCAGCCAGATGGCGCCTGTGAATACCTGAATCAGGTCCTGCCTCTCCTCTGCTCAAGAACCCTCCATGGCTCCCGCCTGATTTGGAGCAAAAACCCAAGTCGTCCCTGTGGCCCACGAGGCCCTGCATTAATCTTCCTGTCACGTCCTTGCCTTTTTCTCCCTTACTCCCCGCCTTTGCTCACTCTATTCCATCCACACTAAACACGGGAACATTCCTATCTCAGAACCTTTGCATATACTGTTTCCTCTGCCTGGGATGCTGTTCCCCAGACTCCTCATGACTCCCCCCTCACCTCCTTGAGGCCATGTCACCTTCTAGGTGAGGCCTTCCCTGACAACTTTATTTAAAATCACAACTCTTTCAACTTCTAGCATTTCCTCCATCCCTTCTCTGCTTTATTTTTCTCTATAGTTCTGTCACCTTCTAACAATAATATATAACTTAGTTATTTCACTTATTGTCTCTCTCCCTGATTAGAATAGCTACACAAAGGCGGGATTCCCCCCAGCCCCCGTTAACGCTGCATCCCCAGCAGTTAGAACAGTGCTAGGCACATAGTAGGTGGTAACTAAATATTTATTGAGTGAAAGTGGGTGAGAGGGCAGAGCTATCTCTTCCTGAAGCTCAAACCTCTCAGGAAAACCCTCACCCCTCCCCAAATCCATAGTGGGAGAGTATGGAGGCTGAGGAGCTGGAGTAGCATCTCGGGGGTTGGGGACACTTACACAGCTATGGACATGTTGGCCGCAGACAGAGGACTCACTTCGGCCACCTCTTTGGCTTTCTGTAGGGCGAGTTTCTGGTTGGCTACCTCTTCTTCTTCTTGCTCGTCCTAAAAGGCACACAGCATCCCTGTCCACAAAACATGAACTAGGCCTTGGGGCCTCACATCTGACTCTGTTGCTGGCCAAAGGCAACGTATGAGATATTAAAAAACAGGTCTGGCCTGGGTGTCGACCAATCAGAACCTAGGCCCCTTGATCGTAATGGGCACCCGATATCAGTTAAGTGTACTGCCGCCCCCTTCACGTACACGCTTGCCATCCAGCTCATCATCAACACTACTTTAACATACAGCCAGAAGAAAAAAAAAAATGAAGAGATCCTCTTCCCTCCCCACAATGAAGAGGGTCCCACACCCTTTCTCGAGCTGGAAAGCAATGCACAAATTTTCCTCTTCCTATACTTTCTGGGCAGTTTGATCTCTCTGAACTGACTTTGAAAAAACACCCACTAGCCTGACATATAGAAAAGTCTGGTGTCCTGTAACTCATGCCATCCACTGCCAACAGCCCCCAGAAGGAGAATCAGGGGAGGAATTTATATCCCCAGCCCCCATAACAGGAAGGCAGGGGAGAGAAAGCCGGGCACTTAAACCCAGCCAAATGCCCAGGGCACTGTTCCCTGGTTAGGTTCACAGAGGAGGAGGATGGGGGAATACGTTTTAAAAATACATACAGAAAAAGACGTTTTTGGACTTTAAATCCTTCTTCAGCCTTCATGCAGGGCCTCATTCGTAAAACAGAAAAGCCAACAAAGAAAAAGCAAAGAAAAAGCAACGAGAAAGAAATGGCCAGAAACAAACCCGCCGGTAAGAAAATTCATGCAGTAGCGGGGGCAGCTCTCCCCCTGTGCTCAGAATCTCTGGGGCAAGAAGCAACCTTACCACCTTGGAAATGGTCAGATCAGGACACTGTTGGTGACAACACCAACCTGCTCCCACAGGTCCTTCCCCTCTCCTGGTACCACACCCAACATCTCTCAGAGCCAGATCCCTGGACCACCTGCCTCAATAACACTGAAAATGCAGATTCCCAGGCCCCCTGAAGAACCTACAGAACCAGGGCTGGGCCCTAGAATCTGAATTTTCAACAAGCTCCCAGGTGATTATGAAACACTCAAGTTTAAGCAATCAGTGCACAGTGTTTAAGAGCACAAGTTCCAGACCCAGACCACCTAGGTTCAAATCCCAGCTTCGATAGTTACTGCTGTGTGACCTTAGGCAAGTCTCTTGACCTCTCTGTGCCTCATAGTCTTGATCTAAAATTTCAACACCCCCCAACTGTTCCTACTTCACGTTTCTCATTAGCACTCATCCCCATCTGACAAGCTATGTATTTTTACAACTTTATCTTATTTCTCGTCTGTCTCCCCCAGTTGAATCCGTGCTCCATGAAGGCAGAGATTTTTGCCTGTTTTGTTCACTGCTGTGTCTCTGGCTCCTAGACCAGGGTCTGGCTCACAGTAGGTGCTCAATAAATGCTTACAGAATGAATGATGAAATCTGTAAAACAGTGCCCCGAGAAACTTGCCTTCTGAGGTTTCCATGAGGATTAGATGAGATTAAAACACATCAGAGGCTTAGTGGGGTACCTGCCACATATTAAATGCATAAGAAATGCTCATGAAATAAATGAAGGAAAGAAGCAGGGTGTGGAGGGGAGTGTCCATATCTCACAGGAGAGAGATGAGCTGGCCTTTTCCCCTTCTCTCCTATTCCCTCCCTTTCTGGCATCCCCTCTCCTCTGTGCCAGCCCCTGAGGATGGGCTCTTGGAACCTGGATGAGTTCATAGCTGGATCAGCCCCCTGATCAGCCACGCCAGCCGACTCCACAGTGGCCAGGCCTGTGGCTGTGTGCTTGGGATGGCAGAGACTTCCGTTTCCCCCCAGTTGGAGCTGGGGCCGGGAAATTCTTTCTCCCTCCTGCCAGGACTGGCAGATGGAGGGTTGGCAATGTCTGCTTGGTTCAGTTCAGTTTCGTGAACATGTTCTGAATACCTTGAGGCACTGGGGATTGGGGCTACAAAGCTGAGATAGGCCCCAGGGCTGGCAGGAAGACCCTGTACATGTTACACATTCTCTTAATTTGATGGTGCTGCTGGAGAGAGGCTTAGGCAGGACCACGGCTAGCTCCTAAGATGCCTTTGTTCCCCACATCCACCTCCCAAATTGCAAAATGGTGCCCTCTCTGGTGTTCCTTCTCCTGGGCTGATGCACCTGCCCCTGGACACATAGGTCGAATTCCAGCCCCCACGTGCCCCTTTGCGCAGGTTCCTTTGTGCAGTGCGCAACCTATTCAACCATTCCCAGAGGCCCTGCTCATGGGCTTTCCTGGGGCATGAGCTGTGTGACTGAAAGCAATGTTGCCTCCTCTGTGCTTATTTGAGTGGACCTGACTCCCAGGGAGTTCAAGGCTGCCCTAAGGGTCAAGTGGCACCATTTTTTGCCTGGATAATTCGCTATTAGTGATCATGAATAAAAACTTAGTTTCACCTCATATAAATGGTTCTTTCTCCCTCAATCTCCCAATTTCCTCTGGTCTCATTTCTTCCTCTTTTCTCTGACTTTTGCGGGGGTGGGTTACATCTCTGCTCCTTGCAGCTCCTAGTTGTGTGGCAAGGTCACTTAACCTCTCTGGGCCTCAGTTTCCCCACTTGTGAAAGAGGGATAAGAGTAACTCCCTATCTCATATGCTTGCTGGTGCCTGGCACACAGACGGACAATGACATTTTTCTGTGGTTGTGATTATTTTTATTTTTATTATTACCTGTTGGGCTAGGGCTCCAATCCCAGCCTTTCCTCTACCAGCTATGTAAATTGACGGCTCTAGTCCGGGACCCAACTCATGCCAACTAACAAAGGCTACCTTTATTGAGCACTTACTGTGTACTAAGAACTGTGCTGAGCCCTTGACATGCATAGCACAATGCTATAAATAGCAGCTGCTATTATCATGCCATTGGAGGCAAGTGACTTTACCTTTATAAGCCTCAGTCTCCCCTTCTGCAAAAAGGAGATAACAGCAGTGCCTGGCACCACAAGCATTGTATAATTTGTTTTGGCTCCCACTTGGAAGTGAAGTGCAGAAAGCACTCCATCTGTCCAGCTCCCAAGCACACGGGGACACAGCTTGAGCCTCAGGTCCCTGTGTAGGCTATTCTCCATCTGCCCCCAGACCCACTCTCCGTCCCCCCAGGAGGTGGACCTGTATGGACCACATCACTGACTCTCCTGTCACTTCCAACTGGTTTGGCCCATGGGAAGCTCCAGCAAGAAGGCAGAGGGACAGAGAAGGTGGGGCACGTACTGGCCACTCCATCTGTGCCTTGCTATGGTTCTAGGTTCTCTTAGGTCACAGGGCCTGTGGCAGCCCCTTTTCCTCAGCTCCAGCTCTGGGTGGGTCTCCACAACACCATTCCCTGTCCCACCCTTTCAGGCCTAGGGTGGTGACAGCACCCTCTAGCCTGGGAGCCACATCATTCTTTGGAGGCCCTGCCCATTCCCTGTAAACGGGCTGTTCGGTCCAGCTTGCCATCTGTTTTCTGCAAACTCTCTGGCTTCTCCTTTCCACCCCCTTTGTAGAACCAGCTTGATTGGGGACAGTCTGTTTCTAGGAGCCGGGTAGAGGTGCCTTACCCCGCATGGTGCATCCAGGGCAAAAGCTCTGACTCCGTCCCTGTGCCCCCACCCCCATCCCCGTCCTGATCTGCCATGAGCAGGTGGTAACTTTGCCAGAGAAACATTCTCCCACCGCCTCCACCTTGGTGAGCTCCTGGGCGTTGGCCAGATTGTCCACAGCGATGGCCAAGAACACATTCAGGAGAGTGTCTGCAAGCACCCGAGTCAGGGAAAGCAGCCACTGGAAGGACGCCACTCGGACCCTAGAGATCTGGGTCTCCTCAGCCCCCTCCCCGACCCGTCACTCTGCCAGAAGTCCAGGCCTGTCCCCACCTCCACGCTTGAAGGATACAGTTCCCGAAGAGCGTCAGGACAATGAAATAGATGGAGAACACCATGCCGCCCTGCACGCCCCCCTGAGACTTGATCCCATCGTACATGACCTCGTTCCAGTCCTCGCCTGTCAGGATCTGAAAGGGGAGGGAAAGACACACAGCCAACCCCCCTCTCAGCCACGGGCCCCTCGGAGACGCAGCTGTGGAGACGGAATCTGCCCGCCCGATCCCCAGGCCCAGGAGGTCTTTGCAAACCCTGCCCAGCTCATGGGGCTGGTCTCCGTCTCCTGTGGGCTCTTCCTTGGCTTTTGTCCTTGTTTGCGAGTGGAAAGGGCCGTCCCTACATTGAGAGGCTCTCGGCCGCACCCTGGGGGAGTCACAAACCGTCCTGTAACTGTCTTCCCTGATGCAATAAGAGGATTTGCTATGGACTTGAACTGTATCCCTCCTCTCAATTCACATGTTGAAGCCCTAACCCTCAATGGGATGGTATTTGGGGACGGGGACTTTGGGAAGTAATTAGGGTTAGATGAGAAGCTGGTTTGGGCTGACCCCATGGGGATCAATCCCCTCGCCCTGGAATATGGGACCGGGATCTCTTCAGACCTGGAGGATGGTGGGTGCATTAACCACGCCTTTTATTTTCTGTATTTCTGAAGCTTTGACATCTGGATGTTTGCTGACTGGAGGGACAGCCCCTCCCAGGACTAGCCAGTCCCTAGAGATAGTAAACACTTTAGCCCGAGCACTCTCGTCACATGCAAACAAACCCATCCACACTCCAGACCTCCACCACTTCCTTTCTGAAACTCTCACATTCCGGGCTACTATCCACCTGCCTTAGTCCCCCCAGGGCCAGGTACCAGACAACTAGGGAGAGCCCTTTGCCCCAAAGCTACCGAAAGGATCCAAACTAGCCAATCCTAAGCTTGTTTATTCTGCCTCGCCTGTTCCTTCCCATGGAAAACACAATCCAGGCTCTTGCCCATGTTTTCCCCTCTTCTTCTGCCTCCAGACTGACCCTGAGGCCTCCCCATGGCATGGCATGTCCCCTCTCTTGGAATCTGTGAGTTTAACAAACTGTCTTTTTTTCTTTTCTTTTTTTGGCAGCTGGCTGGTGCAGGTACTGAGGATGGAACCCTGGACCTTGGTGTTATCAGCATCATGCTTTAACCCACTGAGCCGACAGCCAGCCCAACGAACTATCTTTACAATGGCATTCATCTCCTGGTCTTTTGGCCTCACCATATCTGAATAATAATAAAATCTGTGTTTTAAAACAGTGGGAAAAGGCAGTGTAGACAAGGAGGAATTAAGGGAAACCCCTCGGACACCGAGCAGGCACATTAATCTTTGACACTAAGAGGTATTGGCCCATGGAGCCGAGTGAAGGCCGTACCTGAAACACCGTCATTATTGCTGCTGGAAAAGTGTCGAAGTTGGTGGGAGGAGTCCCTTCATCAAAATTAAACCTGCAGGGGGACACAGACATTCCACGTTGGCCCAGGTGCTCTGAGGGTTTGACTCAGCATCTTGTCTCCAAGGCAATGTCTCCAGCATCTCTGTCTGCAGGAGGACACCCTGAGTGGTACTCAGGGCCCTGCCCGTCTGGGTGACTGCAATGGGTATCTGGGCCATGGGGTGGGTAGCTTGCATGGTGGAGCTGGGTGTGGGTCTCCAGATGCACCGAGTGGCTGGACCCCAGGGAAGCAGAAGTTGGAGATTTTGCTGAGTACTTACTGGCCGCCGAAGAGCTGCATTCCTAAAAGGGCAAAGACGACGATGAACAGGAAAAGTAGAAACAACAGGCTGATGATGGATTTCATGGAGTTGAGAAGAGACACGACCAGGTTTCTGAGAGATGCCCAGTACCTGCCGACACAGGCCGGGTGGAGGGGTCAGGACAGGCCAGGGAAGCAGGAGCTGGGAGTCAGCCCTTGAGGCATGATGCTGGAGGTGGCTCCATCCCACCCCCCATCCCTGCCCCCGTCAGGATGTCAAGGAACCTCAAAGACTTACTTTGTGACTTTGAAAATACGCAATAA